TTCCGTTGAGCAACTCTGGCCACTCCCAGGGTGGATAAAAACCAATGATTTAAAAAATAAAAACAGTTTTTAATTTTTTTTTACAAAAAATGATTTTGAAGGATAAATCTGTCTAAAGATACTTGTCTATAAGATACATTACAGTCCAAAGGTTATTCATTGTGAAATAAGGATTAATTTAATTATGTAGCATGATGCTGTATAGTCATGCAGTGTTTAAATTTGTTGGTAAATGAATTCTATTAAACCATTCACAATGTCATGCTCTTCCAGAGATTTTTGTAAGCTTATTGGGCAATTTTTCTATGTAGAATATATTATCCCAGATGCTTGGTTTTACAGTTTTGTGTCTGCAGAGATCACATGCCTCTTCTTCATTGCAAAAATGTTATAAAATAAACATACAAAGCTGAGAAAAAGATCTTAATCCCACTGTTCCTTTGCAGATCTGTGTACACAGAAATGACTGCTTAACTCTTAAGTTTTGAATAATTCAATGCACAGAAGAAGTGTGTTGGGAGTGGAATAGGCCTGCACAAGAAGCTAAGTGCAAGGAGGGAGGGGCAAGCAGTAAAAATGTAAGTGAAACCTTTTGAACAGAATATTCCACAAGTCTTTTTGTGTATAGTCTGGGATTTATCATATAATTCTTTCCCTGGAGGAGAAACCTATAATGGCAGCAGGCCATACAAGAGATCCAGTTTGAGAATATTTTACTGAAGTTCTTCTACCTACAGGTTAGGTAGGCATGCATGCAAATTATGTAGAAAACCATGACTTAAATCTGACTAGTGAATTTAATCAATCAAATCAAATCCACCCCGGCCTTCCCTGACATGTGTGTTGAATTTTGCTTTGCCCAGAGCTCACTTGGTCACCGTCCATACATTCCAAGAACACATAGAGGGGAATTTCAAATATTCCTGTCTTTGACAGCCTCCATCCAGATCAATCTGAAGGGGGCAGAAGGTCTGAAGTTGGAGTCCATGTGCCTGATCATTTGGAGGAGCAAGTGTGTGTTTATCAGAATGCGGGCAGGTTCCCTGTTACAGATGTTCTGCTCAAGGTACCATGGAATAGGAGTGGAGTAAACAGAGAAGGGCGTGTTGGAGCAGAGCCCTCGCATGAGGCCCATTTCTCCCTTCCATACATTGTTGAGAAATGCAGTGGAAGTGTTGGTGTTTTTACAGCGTGAGGTCAAGCCATGCAACAGATTGTTTCTCAGGAAGAACAGAAGTGTGTATGAGATCCAGTCAAATGAGGGAAAAAAGACTAAGCAAGAATAAGTGTGCCCAACTCCCAGTGGGTCATAAATTGGCAAAGCAAAACAAATTCCTAAAGAGGGATCGTTCTTTTACCTGGTGAGCCAGCCACTCCCCATTGCTGTTGAGCCTGTTTGGTAATAGATAAAAGTTACAACTCCACAGTGTAGCTTACTTGGAATATTGCAGGTTGGGGTCAGGATGATTCGAAAAGAGAGTGGTTTACAACAATCTTGCCGTGTAATCTAGTGGTATTATGCCCCTATATTCTATGCTTGAATGAAGCCAAGAAAGTATCTAACAACAATTCAGCTGTCATGCCCATTGCTGCTGTTTTCCCATTGCTAGGCTTAACTTTTAAAGACCTGACTGGAGTTGGCTCAGAGAAACTTAGGGAGATCATTATCTCATATGTTTTTCAACTGTATTTTTAAGTTATTCAATTATGTTTTATGGCTTTTAAGGGGAGGTTCAGTTATGGCTTTTGTGTATGGTGGTTGTTAGCCACTGTGAGGCACTGTTATGCCATGCGGCAAGACATAAATTTCAAAATAAATTTAGCGAAAGGAAGGCACTATCAACAGAGCATTCAGTAGCACTGAGGTACTGAATGGCCTATGAATGCAGTCCTATGAGAGTATGAGGGCAATGAGAGTACAAAGGGGCAAAGCAGAAGTAGGAAAAGTATTACAGGTGTTGTAGAGAGTACCTGAAAATGAGACTGTGATGGATAAGACTGTGGTTTAGCAAGGAGGGTGTAGAGTTATTAGGCAGTGGGAAACATGGTGAGCCTGTACAGAATGGATGGTCTCCACTTGGACCAGAATGGTACCAGACTATTGGTGCTTATAAGAAATGTGGGAGAAGAGCTTTCACAATGAACTCTGGGTAAAATAAGAGGAGCTGAAGAACATCCAGTTTTTGATACATCATCCCAAGGGAATGAGGGTGATGGTGATAAACAGGGTGAAAATAAGCCATGAGCAAACAGTGGAACACAATAGCTATTCCATGAGCCCAAAGGACTATAGAGAAAAAAGCACATAGAGACAATTGGAGAGGGGCACAATGTGTAGGTGTTCCTGTGCTATTGCTAGAAGCCTCTAAACTAAGATGGGAGGGTTGGTGTACATGGTTTAATGGAGAATACAGATATAATGGAAATGTAGAGAACCAGTTCAATAAGCTTTCCTGTGGTTACAGAATCCATAGGAAGGACAGAATCTACATGGGGTGTGGAGGGAGTTTGTTTTGTTCCTCAAAGAGAGCATTGTATGAAACAAACTGAAAGCTATGACAGGGGCAAAATCTTCTGCAGAACTGCTACAGTGACAATACCAAAATAATTCAGTACTTGGGGCTTGTTAGAATCTCCCTGATGAGAATTCTCAGGGTGACCTTGAGAGGGAGAAGGAGATCAGGGAAGAATTTAAAGGGAAAAAATGTAGTAATGGGCAGCTTCAGTTACCCTTGCAAAGACTGGATAAGTGCATGTTTCAGTCATGACACGAGAGTACAGTTTCTTGATAATATAAATCCAGCCATAAAACTACAGCCCTTTTGGGTTCCTCAGATGGCCATCACCCTGCCCACTTGACCACTGATCATTTAATGGTTTCTATACTTTTGTGTAGGTTTGTTTTTTGCTATTCTAAAAGTTTGAAATGCATTTTCTAAAGCTTAGTTATATGCTGTGAAAAATTAAAGTTAAAATATGATAATATTTTTATACTTGTGCCCTTCAACCTTACCCACCACTGGAATAAAGCCCTCGAGAGCCTCTCTGAAATGAAATTAAACCCTCAGGGAGATAAAGTTGCAGTGCAGGTGCTCTAAATGACTGTTCCCTAGAATACTTGGGTGTGGTACTGGCCAGGGGAAAGATGACCTGGACTTAGGGGTGTAATGACAAATATGATGGTTATTGTGAAGTACTTTAAATCTGTGCCTGGACTGCTATACAATTGAACTTATAAGTGAAAAAGGAACTCCCAATACTATTTATTTTTTCATTTATTAGATTATTAGATATTAGATTTATTACCACCCCATTTAATGTCAGAAAAAGGAGACTTCTCCAAAATGAGGTGAAAAGGGATTTGAAAAGGAAATTCAGTAGGGTCAAATTGGTCCATAATTCTTGGGGATACTCAAAAGCATATTCACAGAAGCCCAGAATGTTTATTGTAGTTCAGGAAAGGTAGTCCAACACCAGCAGGTCTTTGTTCACCAGTGCTGTCAAGGCAGTTATTATAAAAAAAGTAGGTTTCCTTCAGAAACTGAAAATCTTATTCAAATTAAAAGCACAAACCTGCACAAAAGGAATGTAAGCAAACTATAAGAGGATTTTGAGGAGCATATTGTTAATAAGACCATCAATTAAAAATGGTCCAGCCAGACAAGGAGAATGCAGGAACATTAAATATTTTAACTATATTTTATGTTTTAAATTGGAAACCACCCAGAAAGCATTGGTTATTGGGCTGTATAAAATGCAATAAGTAAATAAATAGGCCTTTGGTAAGATCAAGTACAACTCTTCTTATGCTATTATGTTCATATGCCTCCAAAGACCAATATTTTGCACATATTCCTTGGACATAATTTAACTATTGAGCACATCTGGTATTTCATGAATACTGTTGAAATTAAGGAATCTTAAACTGTTGAGCACAGAATGGAACTAATATAGACATGCTATGAGTAGTTTATTTTCTATGTTGCTGTCCCAGGACTATTTCTTGACACACATGAATGCCTGAAGCATCAGAATGTATGCAAGGTGTAATTTTAAAGGCACATGAGGTTTAGTTTTTGGTTTAACTTGTTTTAAAGGAAGACTACACTGAAACTAGTGTGATATCATTTATGGTACATCTTGTAAGAAATTACTTCTGGTATTAGACTGGTGATTCAGTGTTCATAGAAACTGAATCTCAAAGTTGTTGGCTGGTGGGGGTCAACATCCACATTTTGATGTGGATAGGGTTTCCTTTTTAGCATTAGTCCATATTCCTGTTAGCTACAGTAGAGCTTGGTGTCATTTGTGAAATGATGTGCAGTCTGGATCATAATACAACCAGATGTTAAGATGCTTCAGATTCAGAAATGTAGGGTCAGACTTGCAGATGAATTTTTGAAGTTTTTGCTCCCTGTGGCTGTCCCTGATCTTGGGCAGAATGTCATAATGCTCTTTCAGCTGTCTGCACCCTTACTCATAGCTCTTAAGGGATTGCAATATGGTTGGCTTTTAATAGTATATGACCCCTCCCAGCCTGAACTTCTGTTGTTCAATACATTGAGTCTGTCTTAGCAAGCAAATGACTGATTACTTTCTTGGATGAAAGTGCATCCACAGTCAAGCTGCAATGATAGCATTGATTATGGAATTCTTATATAGGCAGAGACCATGGAAGGGAGTTCCAGAGGGTGAGCAACTTTTAGCTACACAGATGAGAATGTGTCAGAGGAGCAAAGGAGAGGACTGCACTTCACATGACTTAAATTCCAGAACCTTTGGCTACATATGCCTAAAGCGTAAGGGATGGTGTAAAAAAGTTGTAAATAAATAAATATCTCTAGTTTCTTCATATGTTATTCTGAAGTAATGTTTTGAGAATTTGTTTTGACCATTAATTTGGCCTTTCATTTCAGCATGGATTTGTTCACAGTATGTTAAATCCTGTTTTCTTCCTTTAGCATTGTGAATTCTCTAACAAAATTTATTTTCTTTTTTAGCTCCAGTGATAAATCGGTTCACTAGACGAGCATCAGGTGAGTATGCTAAATTTGCATGTTCTCAGTGACCTACTCTTTGAACATCGTTTCCTAGTATTTTACAAGTGCTTATACTGCCTTTCATTAAACTTAATCTGCTGTGCTTTTTTTTTAAAGAAAAAATCAAAATAGCTGTACTGTGTCCCAAACTTACAAGAAAAGGTGGATGAGCTGCCTTGGCCTTCAGGAGTTTTGAATTGGCCATTGTGGATCTACCATATGTGTGTGACTTCTCTCAACTAGTACAGGCATGTGTCTTCATGCTTACATACACAAGAAACTACACAAATTGTTTCTCTTGAGCAAGTGAACATAAACACATGCACATTTTTTCTTCCACAATTATTTGCATAGTGATCAACTTGTGAATCCAAAATCTTTCTCCATGTGGGTATCCTATCTTTTTCCCCAATATAAGAACCTGGTGTAAAGTCTCCCCAGGAAACAAATTTAGAACTTTAATTATCTGTATCAGTTCAGATGATATTCCCAAATACATGCAAACAAATGTTCTTCAGTACATGCAAATAAAAATGTTGAAGAGCTTCATAGATTCATGTCTTCTACCCTGTAAATTTTGAGCTAGGCCTCTTCTGTAAGGTCTGCAACTTTTCCAACCCTGCCATCCAAGTCAATTTACAAGCTTTATCCTAGCAAGGGAGCTGTCCAGGAGAAAGGACAAAAGAGATGTGTGTTTCAACTAAAACTAAGCTTCAGTTAAATAACCTGATGGGGAATGCTGATGCCCAAGTCCTCCTTGGCTTGTCATTAGAACTCCAAACCAGAACATGTTTCCTCCTCACAAGTAGGGTTTCAGAGTATGAGACATGCCACCAGATGTGCACTGAGTCTCTGGTTCTCGGTCTCTATGTGGGGCTGCTGCTGCCTTTGTTCCTGGGGTCTTTGGGGTGACCCAGCATGCCTGAACCATTAGATGGGGCCAGTTCAAACGCTTAGGTTCTTTAAAGCTACAGACTCCTTAAGTGGAACATAGCTCTCAGTGATGCTCTCAGAAGGGCAACGAGCATCTGACTTCCCCTGATTTCCACACTAGGTGTACGGTCAGGATCTGCCTCTTCCTCCAAGATCTCAGGTTTCGGTCTGCCATGCTAAGAAGGTGGTAGGACACAACAGCAACTCATGTAGCAAAGAATTCTGTTTTGAGTCTAAGAGTAATCCATTAAAACTCTTTGTAAATGACTTTGCAATTGCAACAGAACTCACACTTAAATCATTTGATTGAACTAAGGGTGCGATCCCATGCTTGTTGAAACAGGGAAAAGTCCTACAATCCCTGGGATTTCTCAGTGTGAGGAATGCCAGGAGTTGCACGACATTTTCTTTCCAAATATACATAGGACCTTGCCCAAATAGACTTTTATCCCATCTTTTAGAGTACTTGAACAAAGCAATCATTAAAACAACAACACTGTAAGAATTTTAGATTATATTAAAGCAATAAGCTATCAAAACAATAACATTAAAATAACAGTAGCAATTAAACCCATTTTTAAAACTGAGCATTATATTAAATTAAAAGCAGATCTTTCACAAATGACAAATATAGAACACCCTAAATTGCCAGTAACATTGTTTCCAAAACTTCCATAATGATGAACTTAAAAGAAAACCAAGCTTGTCTGATGGAATAGACAGTTGGTAGTCTAAAATCCTACATCTCCTAAAATCAGAAAGTTTGTAGGAGTCCTTGCTTGGAACTGTTGCATGGAAACATCTTGGAGGAGAGTTACAAACAACCTTGCATATACATCTTCTTCCCTCTCTGTCTTTAAAATCTTATTTGTGATCTTTTTAATATAGTTTCAGGCCAGCTTTTTTCTGTGTTAGAGGAATGCTTAAGGGTTACTTGCTTTTTTCTTGGCAGAGCTACCAAATAGCTAGAGGTTAATTGTAGAAGCATCTGCTGATAATAATGTGAGTTGTTAATTATTTAGCGGATATTCCAGCCAGCCTGCTGTGACTATTAACCGTTTTTGTAAAATATTCTGCATAGCCTTAATGGGCCACAGCAGCTGTGATGGCACAGTTCCACACCAGTCAGTGCTTTGCAAGCCCATGCCTCCTTTTCAGCAGCACTCTTGTCCACCCCACCTCTGGAAGCACAAAATAATGCTTGTGGTTAGCTGCAGAATGCACATGCTTAGAAAACATTTAAAATATGAATATGGTGTGCTGCATTGATGTCTCCTTCATCACATCTACAAAAGTCAAGGTATTTTCATATCTTTTACATATGAGTATCAATGTAAAAATAAAAATAATGTGGAGTTAATGAGGTTTGCTTACTAGATGTAGTCTGAAGCCATATTCATGAAGGTAAATTGGGTTGGGGGAGATGTTATGTTCCCAATCTTGAACTGTGGTTAAGAGATTGGGGTGTGGGATTATGTGCTCCCTCCCTTGTTTTTCCACCAATGCTCTGCCAGTTAAAGATTACGGTTAAGGATTATTGACCTTGTCTGTGTAACACTAATCAAGGTTGCCCACATTATTTGGTTAATCAGCCCTTGTTCAGGGTGAGCTTAATTAAGAACATTAGGAAATCCATGCTGGATCATCTAGTCCAGTATTCCATACTCATGGTGGCAAACCAACTGCCCACAGAATTCCCCAAGTGGGATGGGTGCAAGACCTCCTTCTGCCCAAGCTCCTCAGTGTATGCAGGCAGGCCATCTCTGGTAAGGGAGAGCGCACATAATCAGCACAGCTAGTAGCCATGCATATCCTCCTCCCTCATGAATCTGTCTGATCCCTTTTTAAAGCCATCTCCACTTCCCATGATAGCAAATTCCATAGTTTAACTATATGCTGTGAGAAGAAGAACTTCCATTTATCTGTACTAAACTTCCCAACAGTCAGCTTCATGGGATGACCCCGTGTTTGAGCATTATGGGAAGAGGAGAAACATGACTTCCTATCTACTCCACTACACCTTGCATTATTTTAAACACCTCTATCATGTCTTCTCTTTTTCCTGGGAACAATCCCAGTTGTTGTAACCACTTCTTATAGAGGAGCTGCTTCAGCCCTTTTGTTGCCCTTCTCTGTAGTTTTTCCAACTTAAAAATGTCCTTTCTCAGGTAAGGTGAGCAGAACTGAACACAATATTCCAAGTTAAAGCACCCCAACCATTTGTATAAGGGAAGCAAGATTTTGGCAGTTCTGTTTTATATTCTCTTCCTAATTATGCCTGGCATGGTGTTTGTCTCCTTCACAGCAGCTGAGCACTGGGCTGACATTTTCATCAAGCCATCTACCCCCACCCCAGGATCCCTTTCTTTCTGAGTCACTGCCTGCTCAGATCCCATCAGTGTATACTTGAAGTTGGGATTTCTTTTGCTCCAACAAGCATTACTCTACACTTGCTTATGTTGAAATAACATAAGCATTGTGTTAGCATTACCCTTGGTCAAAATTGGTGAATACATACATATTCCTGAACCACGATTTAGGCTACCAAGGAAGCATAGGAAGATTTTCCATTTAAAAGAGGAGGCGTTTCGGGGAAAGATAGAAATTGGAAAAACTGTACTGCACTGGCCCTGTACATATTGCAGCTTCTCTGTAGTTAAAATATATAAATTAATGGAAGACCTCAAATTCTTGTTGTTTCCATGCTGAACAAGTTGTTTGCATTTATTGTGGATTATTGAGACCTCATGCCAATGTTGTTGTCTTCTAACAAGCCTTTGATTGTATAATCAAGCATAGTTAAGCTGTACAATATTATTGGTAGAATATTTCTTGGATTGCATTCACACAAACAATGTGACATTAAGTACTTGTGAAAGGGGATTGTTTAAATAAAAAGGTTTGTTTATTTAAGTTGCATGTTTCTATGAGGAGAGAACTGTGGGGGAGCTAAAACTGCCATTTTAGTTGTGTAAGCAGCATAATATGTGAAGAAGTTTTGATCAGAAATGCAGATATATTAAAAAAAATCCTCTTGATTTGGATGGGAAAGGGTGGATAAAATGATTCTAATCATTATAGCAGAGTTCAAAGTAGCTGAAATTAGTGTGATTCAGATTCACTTTAAACTGTTCATATTAGCTTTGTCAAGAACACATTTGTCAAGGTCATTTAGCAAGTTGCTGTGTCAAGGTTTACATGGTGGAAGATAAAAAGATATTGTGATACACTTTATTCTTATTCGCCCCATATTACACACAAGAAGGCGAAGATTGAAAGCTTGTACAGCTGTAGGCTTCTATTTCTCTCTCCCCCTACTATTTTCCTAATGGAAAATTAAAAACCTAATTAAACAGGATGAGTACTAACAGCTTTTGAGGAAAAGCTTTGAAAGCAAAACAAACATGAAATGGCAGCCAGCGTTTCTAACATGACGAGTATGGTTGCTATTTTTTCATCATTATTAAATTTTGCAAATGTGCTTCAGTAAGATTCAGCAATTTGTTTATTCTAATCATTGTTGAGATATCACTACCTTTGTAACCATATGATCTCTTCCCTGCCTTTTATTGGCATTTATTCTTACTTCGTTCAGATAATTAACTTCTGTGTAAACTCTACAAGACGGTTTGTGTTCTTGTAACAACTCATACTTCTTTCGTTTCTTAAGTAATTACTGTCTGTCTTCCAAATAAATTCATATTGTATTATCTAGTTCTGGATTAGTTGTTTAATTTGTGAGTGGCTTGTAAGTGTGTGTGAAGAGCAGTCCTCTATACTTGTGCAGAAACCCCTTCCCAAAATTGAGGGCTTTGGAAGTGGAACCCCATAATAAGATATGATCGGGTTAATGTCAAAAGGATTTTTTTGGCTTATTTTCATACCCCAGCCCCTAAGAGAGGAAATGACTAAGCAATGGGTGGTTGGGGGGAATAGGTGGGTTCTGGGAAGGGAGTGTGGCCATTTAGAGAACTCTGAAGGACCAGATTATTTATTTATCTGGTCTTTATATCCTGCCTTTTTTTTCCTTTCAAGAAACTCAAGATGGCTTACATTCTCCTTTT